ATAATACAAGTAGACGCAACTTCGAGAGTTTTTGCCTTAAAATGCCTAAACGGTGTGTCGTTTACGGTTGTTCCAACGTTGCTGACACAAAGAAGGGTATTTCTATCTACCAATACCTTTTTGGAATGATAATTCGCCCGTAGCGGTCAGGAGAAGGAAAAGATGGCTGAGCCTTTGTTCGACACAGAGTCGCAGACGAAACAAATGGATCCAATTAGTGTGCTCAAAGCATTTCACTGAGAAGTGTTTTGTATACGGTTCTGAAAGTGTGGAAAAGAAAAACACTCCGAGACTACAGTACATAAAAATCAACTTTCTGGCAGTGTGAAATCAGAGCGCACGAGTCGCATGAAGCGAAGGAAGATACTGTAAGCTAATAATACTTTATGTTTATTCACCAGAACTCGCATCATTAGCGCGTTTATTTACATATATTTGATTTGTGAATCAAACCTTTTCCTGTTATAAACTTATATTAAGGTATTTGTATAAAGTTTAAACGTTCTTATGTCGTGTAAATAGAGTCAGTCGAGAACAATAGAACTGCATGTCCTTAATATGGCTCATGTCGTGTATCACAACACATGGGCCAACGAAATTTATTATTAAATACCCTTTTATTATACCCTGTGACTATTTGACCGGCAGCCATCACGTTTCAAAATTTCCTAAATGACCGGCAGTCTGGTATTTAGAGTTAAAGTCATGTTTAAAACACGGGCTCGATCATTGTAAACAACACAATTTATAATGCCAGTCATTTAGACATTTTGAAACATGACCGGCTGCGGGTCAAATAGTCACTCTGTTTATTATAAGACTAATCTTGTGGTTTCAACTCTATACGACAACAGGACCCAACAGGAACTTGTCGAAAACCCTGAAAAAGCACTGACAACATCAACTGCTGATGAGCCAGATCTATGTTGAACCTTGCACATCTACAGAACAAGGAGAAATGGTACGGTTGTTGGTGTGGTCTCATTTTTTATACACTGGGGGGATTTGAACTTTTGAAAATTTGATTGTTCAAATTCCCCACCCCCCTGGCAAAAAGTGTGTTCAAATACCAAACTAAAACAAAAAAATTAATGGGAAAATTCCCTGTGCCAAGGAAATATTTATGAAACTGTCAAATGAATACAGAACACTGTTTTTAATGTATACGACATTCATAGATGTTAGATTTCAATTTCCGCCATCTTGTCTTAAGTTAACTTTTCAGACCGAATGACTGAAGTTCTTGCTCCAGATAGAGCTGACTGACAAAAACGTGCAAATTGTGATTTAGATTTAAATTCCCCACCACAAAGATTCAGAATGTCAAATTCCCTATTCCAAGGAGCCACCTTAAAGTCGAATGCCGGGAGGGGGGGGGGGCATTGTTTCAAATTGATTGTACATACATTAGACAATAGAACTAGCCAGTACTGTAATTATAGTTAATGTTGACAATATTTTATAATTTCAGTCCCTGCTGTTACAGTTAGTAGCAAGAAAAAAGCATCCAAACCAAGAAATCCACCAAAGTGAAGTGTATGCAAGCAGCCAATGAAAGGCCACAAAATTGTGACTAATTGTCCACGGAACAACAAGACCTAACAATATTTTACATTAATATTTAACATTCAAATAATAAACTTATAAGTTTTCATCGTCTGTTTCCAAGTCATCATAACCTTCAAATTCATCACCATTCTTGTTGTTATGTGTCAAATGTATTGCAGTATATGCACAAGCGGGCAGTGGTATACGTCTGTCCTTTAATTTGCTGTGAATCATGCGGGTAAACTGCCTATATGCAACAACTCGAAGAAATCTACAATATAATAAAAAGAATATTTCTTGGTTCAATTTTATACACTATACGAGTAGAAATCTGGTGGACAACATGCAGCAATGCGCGTAACCCATTTACTGGCAGTGGGTAAAATCGATCGTCTGGCGTTGGACAGAGTAAATAGTAAAGTAGGGCACATCTGAGCGCATTGCCAGTACTGGCAGTACCTTACCACTGATGAGTAAAATCATCTGCAGACTAAATAATAAAGTAGGTTGCATTGCAAGTTAATGAGTTAATTTGAAAACAACAACTTTGTTCTACCACACAAGCAGCTGCACAATGCATCAGTCAAATCCAAGCATGTCCATCCTCCACCCCGGGGTATTTGCCTCTGTGGCATGTGCCAGTGGAGGGTCCTTTGCATGCAAACCTTTGCCCGGGGGTGAGGCATTTAAAATTAATATTATATTTTCTAAAGATTACTAATAATCCAAAACAACACAATCACATCAGTTTATCAAAATGTATGATGTCAATATTTTGTGTTAAACAGTGTCCCAAATAATGTCCCTAATTATTGTTTGTAGTACTGGTAACATAAAAGCTATGGTAGCAATACCCCAAAGTGCTTGGGCATTTTGGGAAATACCCGGTCACGATTGGAGATTGCAGCCTCAATTTCATTCATGTGACAAACTCCATATTTTTGCCTTAATGTCAGTATATTTGTCAAACAAGTAGTTGAACGTGATGCCTTGTAAAAATGCTAGATGGTATTCAATAATCGTACGAAGCATAATCACACATAGTTTCAATTAATAGATTGTGAAATAGAACATGTCAATTTCAAGAACAGTTGTGGCAAAATTTTCTCAGATTTTCTTATTTTAAAAATTTGTCAAAAGCCCAGGCGTTGCCCCGGGGGGGTGCCTGGATTTGACTTATGCAAATGCTCTAAAATTTATTGTACTGGTACCTTTCCTTTGGACCAAGTTGACTATAACGATGACCATCACGAGTTTTAAACATTTCTGCCGCAAGATCCAACGACCATCTGTGTAGGGACACTGCTGAAAAACCAGGGTGATCTGTTTATACACAAATTACTTCTTTGTCAACTGACCCGGATAGCCCAAATCATCAACAAATTCGACACATTTTTCGATTTTTCTGCAACAATAGCATTCTTTAGCATTTCAGTGTTGCAGTTTCCACACCTGCACCTAAATGACAGTAAACTAATTTATACAATATGTAAATATCCGGAGCCAAGCATGTCAACATATAACTATAAACAAAATCGCCAAGCATTAATATCGACCAAGTTTAGGTGTTGAATATTACAATGACGTTGCAGATTTATTCCCTTTAAAACGCACCTCTAAATCTCTCATCCTTTCATTGTCTTCCTCTCACTTTCGTATTCTTCTAGCCAAGCTTCATCAGCAATCAGTTCATCCAAGAAGCCTTTCCTTCGTCTGAATTGCCATCCACATGGCCGCCATGACTGGCTTCAAAATATTCGGTTTCAACGCGCTCAACTTCAATTTCACACGGACTACTAACAGACGAATTGCTAAAGATACTCGAGTGTGAATTTGAGCTCGACATTTCAGGTTTTTCACAAAAATATAGTCGTTTTTTTCACTTGCCTACCCAAATTGTAATACAATTTCCTATTGTGAAATTAATACAACGTGTTCGGTGTTCCTCCGACCCAGTCTCCTCTGTGCGCTACTTTTTTTTCAAAATTGGCACTTTGAGCCGTTATATCTCAGAAACTAGAAGTTTAAACCAAAATCTAATCTAGAACTTCTATTGTAACTTTTTACGCTCTATCCGAATCATGCAAAACCCATTTTGGGTTTATAGGCACTTTAACCGTCTGGTTAAGCGTTGCAGTGTTAATTACTGAGGCATAAGCAAATTATATTCAAGCTTTCCTGCTGATATTTTACTACACAGTCATTTACGTTACGCTATTCAAGCTTATCTGCTACTAGGTTGAAAATGTTTATTTTCCATATTTTAATCTTACAAACTCACCTTACAAGTTTAGTATACAATGCAGTACAAAAAGGCAACAGAATTACGACAAAATATTAATATGACCTATACTGCAAATTACCAGCGGTTTTGGACTTCTATGTCAGTTTTACCAGTAAATTATGCTTAAAGTCGTCGCTAATACAAAGTTACCATTAAATACGTTTCAAAACACAAAAAATGTGCAATTGCTGTGCACCCTGTACATCAATGGCACAAGTTTTAGTGCGCATCATTTACATTAGACTACAATTGCTACTCGCGCAAAGTGATTGCGACAATCAATATCGCGTATCATCTGTTTATCCCAGACAGCAAAACATTCTAAATCTATGAAACGCCATTTGACCTAAAACAATCTAATGCTCGGTAGAGATATTCAGGCAATAAGTAGCAAATATAGGCAAAAAAACACTTACTAGTTTAAGGTCTGTGTTCAGACAATCGTGGACATAACTTGTTAATAAAATTTTAATTTGCCTCTGTGAGAGTTTAAATTGTAGTTTAATTCCTGTAGTTTGTCTAAAACATTCCCCCCCCTCCCCAACACAATGTTGTTGAACTACGTTTAAAATGAGAGGAAAATCATGGCAACATTGAGTGGGGGGAGTGGGGGGGACCTATACGAAGTTATTTGATTGTAATTTCCTAAAATGTTGATCGATTTTATTAACACTTTTGTCCATGATTGATTGGTTCAAAATTAGCTTCTGAGTCCTGCAGTGACTTGATGCATGTGACAACGACTAATAATGTCCCACGCTCAAGCACAATTTTTAAGTTTTCTGAAATAGGAGTGGAAGAGGTCACTGCTGGGTTGCACAATCTTAAAATATCAAAAGCAACTGGCATCACTATGATACCTTCTCGTGCTCTCAAGATAGCTGCATATATTATTACACCATCAATAACTTTGATTTTTAATCTGTCTTTAAAAACCAGAATTTTTGTTGACGCATGAAAAAAGGCTTGTGTATTACCAATTTATAAATCCGGCGATAGACAATTATGCGAAAACTATCAGCCAATTTCGATCTTGCCTGTCATAAGTAAGATACTAGAGAGGTCTGCTTTTGATCAATTATACAAATTTCTTAATGACAACTCCCTTTTATCAAAATATCAATCCGGTTTTCGGCCAAAGAACTCAACGCTGACTGCATTATTACAGATGTGTGATGAATGGCATCAAAATTTGGAGTGTGGGAAATTGATCAGAGCTGTTTTCCTAGATATACGAAAAGCATTTGATTCAGTTGATCACAAAGGTGAAGTTTAAAATGACGCATTTTATCCCCAAATCCATTCCGTTCCGCATTTTAACCCCCACATCCGTTTCGCATTTTTAAACCCATCCGTTCCGCATCCGCTTCCGCATTTTAACCTAACCCCATTTTGGGATTTCATTCATTTCGTTAATCAGTTTCCGCGACCTGCGCGTATGTAAAAATGGTCACCTGGTTTTGTTCGCGATTCTTGAGCAGGGTTTTTGTGATAACTATATGGAGCCACCTTTATTAAAAACAGCGCAAAAACGTCTGCGCATGCGTCAACATTACTGAAATCTGTATTGCGAACGTGGTGTCAAGTGATCCAAAGGTTGTCAAAAACTCAAAATGGAAGCGATAAGGAGTGACTTCGACGTTAATTTGCCTTTTCTATGAAAACGCAAGCGGAATAATGACGTGACAGCCTAAAAACTAGAAGTAATTATAGTCTACATGACGGTGCAAGAAGTAGCATTATGCAAGAAAATAAACCAAAGGTTACTGTTGATAAATTTATTGTATAAAACGTTCTTTAACTGGACCATACAAAGATATTTTTCGTAGGTTCATATGATTCACAATTTTGTCTATAACGTTTTTTGCTTACTGCATGTATAATTTTTACGTTGACTATATTTAAGGGTAATGATTTACTCAGTGGCGCCGTGGGACCCATGTTTTTTTGGGGGGGTGGGGGCCAAGGGCAGTACTTTTCCGACAAATTGAAAATTTTTTCCAACAAACCAAAAAATTTTCCGGACGACAACATTTTAAATCTTCACCCCGTCGACAACTTTAATCATTTCCGACAACATTAACAATTTTCCGACAATTTCCGACAACATTGACAATTTTCCGACGGGTCTCGACAATAGGGGGGCCTGGCCACGGTGCCACTGGATTTACTCTGCAATTTAATTGTGTGCAAATGCTTACTATTCTATAGTTTTCTTAACTTTTGTGCTTAAGTTCGGTAAGACAATTTTTCAGGAAATGTTCACACGCCTCCCGGTTTAAACGGTAATTATTAATTTAAATTCTGTTTCTTTTAAGATTTTAAATGTCAGAAAACTTTTTATTAATGTAATTATTAATGTCTAAACTACCCGTCTAGTGTATTTGTTTGTTTGTTTCAATTATCTTAAATAATTAAATAGCCATGTTTTTGTTTACAATTTGGCATTTAAATTCCTCGCCATATTTTTTGTGCCCACGCATGCGCAGACGTTTTTCCGCGGTGTTTCTTTATTAGTGTTATTTTCCTATGCCCACATTGTGGCGGAAAGCATTACAAGTTCTGAAAATGTGAAATTTCGAGTACATTTTTATAAATGAATAATCCACGCCATTATAAAATTTGCAAAATTTAATGTAAGATATTCAAGCGAGTAGTGCAATTTTCTAAGTCCGAAATGGATTATTTACATAAATTGGAAAGTCAGCACCACGTACAGTATATAATACTCACTTAAATTCTTATATGGACTTTATGGCCAGCTTTCTAATGAATCGTATGTGGATGATTTTTTATAAAAAAGACCTTGAAAATTTACCTCTTTTAGAAGCCATATGGGGTCTATATCCTTTATTGTTTATAATATGTTTATACCTGTGTCTGTGTTGTTCCAGTGATTTTAATTACTTATGGATTTAAGAAGAAAATAAATTGACACTTCCCGAAATTGCATGCATGCACACGAAAAAATACCTGAAATAGAGGCGGGCAATATAATCCATTATAAATATAAATAGTTTTCTTGACTTTCCAAATAGCAAATTTGGGAAGTAATCTTTTAACCACGAGGCATGCGTTGAATTTTAATTATTTTTCACAGAAGCACTTTTTATTTGTATAGGAAAAGCGAAATGATAAATGCCACAGACACAGTGTGTACGATTATATATATATAGTTCTTCTATAATAACCTTTTAAAAATAAACATAAACGACACTTATTATTATTTATGTTTCAAATAATCACACTTATTTTTTAGTTTTTATCAAAGTTAATTGGACATTGAAAAAGTCTGATTTGAAAATTCAAACTACACTCATCATGGTAGGTATTATTTCATTCATAAAGTTGTTTAGGTTCAATCAATGTCATTTACAGATATGCTGTATAAGCATTTCTCATCCAGCCAAGCAAATTCACTGTTAAGTATAAGTAGGTCATTCAACCAATTTACAATCATTATAGTCAAGTCACCTGCATGCTTATGCCGTTACGGAATGTCTGAATATGTTGTGATACCAGCATAGAATTGAACTTTATTTTCCGACGGGTCTCGACAATAGGGGGGCCTGGCCACGGTGCCACTGGATTTACTCTGCAATTTAATTGTGTGCAAATGCTTACTATTCTATAGTTTTCTTAACTTTTGTGCTTAAGTTCGGTAAGACAATTTTTCAGGAAATGTTCACACGCCTCCCGGTTTAAACGGTAATTATTAATTTAAATTCTGTTTCTTTTAAGATTTTAAATGTCAGAAAACTTTTTATTAATGTAATTATTAATGTCTAAACTACCCGTCTAGTGTATTTGTTTGTTTGTTTCAATTATCTTAAATAATTAAATAGCCATGTTTTTGTTTACAATTTGGCATTTAAATTCCTCGCCATATTTTTTGTGCCCACGCATGCGCAGACGTTTTTCCGCGGTGTTTCTTTATTAGTGTTATTTTCCTATGCCCACATTGTGGCGGAAAGCATTACAAGTTCTGAAAATGTGAAATTTCGAGTACATTTTTATAAATGAATAATCCACGCCATTATAAAATTTGCAAAATTTAATGTAAGATATTCAAGCGAGTAGTGCAATTTTCTAAGTCCGAAATGGATTATTTACATAAATTGGAAAGTCAGCACCACGTACAGTATATAATACTCACTTAAATTCTTATATGGACTTTATGGCCAGCTTTCTAATGAATCGTATGTGGATGATTTTTTATAAAAAAGACCTTGAAAATTTACCTCTTTTAGAAGCCATATGGGGTCTATATCCTTTATTGTTTATAATATGTTTATACCTGTGTCTGTGTTGTTCCAGTGATTTTAATTACTTATGGATTTAAGAAGAAAATAAATTGACACTTCCCGAAATTGCATGCATGCACACGAAAAAATACCTGAAATAGAGGCGGGCAATATAATCCATTATAAATATAAATAGTTTTCTTGACTTTCCAAATAGCAAATTTGGGAAGTAATCTTTTAACCACGAGGCATGCGTTGAATTTTAATTATTTTTCACAGAAGCACTTTTTATTTGTATAGGAAAAGCGAAATGATAAATGCCACAGACACAGTGTGTACGATTATATATATATAGTTCTTCTATAATAACCTTTTAAAAATAAACATAAACGACACTTATTATTATTTATGTTTCAAATAATCACACTTATTTTTTAGTTTTTATCAAAGTTAATTGGACATTGAAAAAGTCTGATTTGAAAATTCAAACTACACTCATCATGGTAGGTATTATTTCATTCATAAAGTTGTTTAGGTTCAATCAATGTCATTTACAGATATGCTGTATAAGCATTTCTCATCCAGCCAAGCAAATTCACTGTTAAGTATAAGTAGGTCATTCAACCAATTTACAATCATTATAGTCAAGTCACCTGCATGCTTATGCCGTTACGGAATGTCTGAATATGTTGTGATACCAGCATAGAATTGAACTTTATTTGGAATTCTGGAAATTTAAAGTGTTTGAGCGAAATAGCTGTTTTACAGCTGCATGCATGTACAGTATATTAAATCAGACAGTGCAACTTCTTTGGGGACACCCGAGTACATCACACTAACATTCTCATCATATGCAAGCTATAAGGCGCATTCCGCGTATACGACTCAATTTTGCAGAACTGTTAAATATAATGTTATGTAATAAAGTGATTAGAAAGACAAAACAGCTTGAGGTGGTATGGTGAACACAGAAGCTTCCGTGAAAAAATGCCCTTGTAATTGGCTTGTTTTTAATGGGCGATTATACTATATATATATATAAAACATCTATTTCGCGCTCTGAAGAACGGTTTTAATGGTTTTTTTGTAACAATCAGTTTTTATTGCATTTTTGAAAAGTTGCGGGTTTTCAGGTTAATTTAATATAATTTAATATTCGGTTGCAATTTTTTTTTATATATACGACACCATGTAGAACAATACGAATGGGCCAAATAACGCAGTAAATTTGTTGCGACAAGCAGTTAATCTACTTCAGTCTGCGAGTGGCAGCCAATCTACACAAATATCGACAAACTTGCACCTGCAGCCTATTCAAGGTCAATCTTTGCCAACTAGCTTGCAAGCCACTTTCAATCAACAACCATCGACTGCCACTTTCAGGAATCAACCATCGACTGCCACTTTGAATCAACCATCGACTGCCACTTTCAGGAATCAAACATCGACTGCCACTTTGAATCAACCATCGACTGCCATTTTGAGTCAACCATCGACTAGCGCTAATCAACCGAGTGAGGCTGTTGATGAACATCGGAGGCTTTTCAGTCGACAATCGGTAAATTGAACTTTTATCTGCATGTATTTGAAATGAAAATACTTTTCCCAATTTGTCACTATATGTTTTGAAATCGTTTTGTATATAACTTGAGTTCATTATTTTTCATATAAGAAGCGCATTTATATTTTTTAGAGAATTCAGCCATATGGCACAAGAAGAGGTCGGCGAGGAGCTGCGAGAAAAGGTGAGTTCTTATAATTTGTAGAGATGATTTAAAAATACCAAAATGGAGATAAAGAAATTATGTAGCATAGAACATGGCATGTGTGCTCAGTATAATATTAGCTGTTAAAAGGACAAGTATGACGTGAGACTCATGCAATGAGAGCCCAACACGGTTAAGACCTGATCAATGCATGTAATGATTTGCCGGTTGGGGGATTGTTAAACGCTTTAATCCTTTATACTATTTTTCATTTGTAGAAAAAACTATAACAAAAACCATGCTATGTTTGGCCAATAAAAACCAAATGTACGTGCCAACAACAACAGAGAAATTGACTCTCCTTGAAAATGGGCTTGAAAATGTTGTGATAGGTGGCATGTTCTCAAGTAGTTCCACTGTCCTTCTGGTACCCACTGTTCTTCTGCTCACCAAACCGTGTCCTCAAACATCTTCCAGTTTACCCAATGTAAAGCATGCCACATCTGCTGCAAGAGATGCAGTGGATGAGATGGGAGGAGGCGCACGTGAAATGGCGCTTGATGTGATATTCAGATTTAAGTGCCGACACAGTAATGGTAGAATCTACAAAATCACATGTTACATATCGACAACAGGCAAGGAAAAGTGCCTTTCTGTGACGTCTAAGCCTGTGCTGCTAGGGAGCTATGCTTGGACTATGGTTTCCCGGATATTTTTGCTGTGTCGAAAAGAGACTAAAGGGTTATCGGAGAAAATGTAAGATGTTTCAGGGTCGTTTTTCAAAATATGGAAATTCTTGTTGACAGCATCTCTAACTTTGAAATTGAAAGGATGATAATTTAATATTAGGGGGATTTTGTTGTTGCCTGTGATATAAGACATAGGGTCTGTGAGGGTGTCGGAACGGAGGCCTTCAAAAAGGAAATGCGCTGCAATGCGGCGAAGACGAAGGAACTGAGAGAAGGGAATCGACCTTATGAGTTATGGTGTGGTTGTGGTGGGAAGAGGAAAGTAGAAGATAGCTATGGGAATCAGTGGGCTTGTAGAAGACAGAAGTAACTAGTTTGTTACTATTGATCGATACAAGGATATCTAAGAATGATACACTGGTCTCACTGATCACCCATGTGAACTGGAGTACTGGATGGAAGTTATTAACAAAGTTAATAAAGCGTTCCAATTCGACACGAGAACATGATGCTGTACCAAGACAGTCATGTATGTACCTACTAAGGTAATCAGGGATGGGATCAATGTACTGTTCAACGATTTGTTTTTCCACAAAACCAACAAACAAATTAGCATGCATGATTGGGTGCCATTTTGGTTCCCATGGCTACACCATTTATCTGTTAGTAATGCTCACCATCAAAGGAAAAATTGTTGAGGGTAAGCTCCAACTCTGCCAATCGGGCCAAAACAGGAATGGCCGGTTCATTGGTACTTACCCTCAACAATTTTTCCTTTGATGGTGAGCATTGCCAACAGATAAATGGTGTAGCCTTGGGAACCAAAATGGGACCCAATCATGCATGCTAATTTGTTTGTTGGTTTTGTGTGAAAACAAATCGTTGAACAGTACACTGATCCCATCCCTGAATGCCTTGGCACTAGGTACATAGATGACTGTCACCCTTCTGGTATGAATGAACGCTTTTCCTATGTGTTTAATTCCATCTGTCCTTGCCTGTCTATAGTAGACATTGACAGAATTTATCTTTTTATTACTTTACTTTTATTTCTTACCTTATTCCCACTTGCGTTTTGTTTTGTTTTGTTTTGATTATTTTTTGTAGTAATTGTCTCAGCTTCCTGTATATTTTTATAATATTTTTATTATATTATATTCTGTAATGCAATTTACATATTTTTTTACACTCTGTTATGATTAAATCCATTTAATTGGTTTATTTTTTTGTCACGTGATGCTTTATACTCTTAGTATAAAAGCCCGTGCATTTTCCCCGATCCCTGCTACTAATTTGGACACGTCTTCCTGAATTCCACCAAATTTATGTTCACATATTGAACAATTAATTTATGCCAGTTGTTTAAATCGCTACCTACTGCAGGTGGATTTCCCAAGCCGGATCAGGTCGTTCCTTAATTGATTTAGATTTTGCCGGTGTCAATCATAGATATCTCATATACACTAGATAGTGCATCTAATTATTCTGCAAATTAAAAAATTGAAGCCGTGATTGCAGTCTCGGGATATTCCCATGAAATTAGAAGATTCGTATATTTTCTATTTCTTAAACAGGGAACTTAAACATTAAGCTAAACTTATTCCAAATACATTTTTAAACTATTCAAATGATGAAAGTTATTGTTGTTTTTTAAGCGTTTATTAGCGAGTGGGAACACCAACATGGCAGCCATCTATTCAAATGGGGGTAACAGCTGGAATTATGCGCTATCTAGTGTATATAAGATATCTATATGGTGTCAATAGACCATTGCGGCTCTGACTATGCCGGCTGGAAAATTATCAAATTTAAAGAACTACGAAATTGAATGAACTTAGCTTTTGTGGATAATGTAAAATACGGCTTTAATTTGTAACTCATTACATAATTGATAATTTGGAAAATTCCTAAATTGATAATTTATTAAATTTGTTTGTATTTGCTTTAGGTCGTACCCTCAGTTAAATGAAACTGGAGGTTTCCAAATGTTATTAACCAAGGAGAAGAAGAGAAAAGAATTAAGAATTGTATGCCATGGTAGTTGCAACACAGAACAACTTCGTTGTTTTGGAACGGGTAGGATATATTTGCGACCCTTACAGAAGAGCATACCCTTGCCGATAAATATAAACGTAAAGGAAGAATTTCAACAATGCCTGACGTGTGGAGGATCGTTTGCAGTAAGCGAAATGCGTCGTCACATGAACACTTGTCAAGTATGTATTTCTCTGACGTTTTAAGTATATATATATATATATGACGTTTTAAGTATATATATATATATGTGTGTGTGCATGTGTGTGTGTGTGTGTGTGCATGTGTGTGTGTGTGTGTGTGTGTGTGTGTGTGTGTGTGTAGTGCTGACGAGCAGGATGAAAGTAACTAGCATTAATACAGTTACCTTTGATGCCTCAGGAATGTGGGACATCAAACCATTGCCACAGTCAGGCTCAAACTGCAAGCAGTGAGCGTTCGCACAATGCGAATAAGCGGCAATGGCTCATCCTGTAGAGTGCTCGATATGACCTAAAGGCCATAGAGCAATATACATATTGCATATTGTGACTATGTAATGCTTTATACAATGAATAATAAAAAAAATTATTAACGCACGCGAAAGTGTGTACCATACATCAGCACTCCCACGATGAAATCTCTATGCGGTATATATGTAGGTGCATTAGGTATATTATACTGCATGGTACAGCTATAATTTAATTTTTATAATGAGGTTACATAGTAACCAAGGTTAATATCATAGGAACCGCGCGCAGTCTGGGTACGACAAGTGCCCTCAGGATATCGGATATAGAGAGTGCCAAGCAGACTCACAGGTCATTAGCTAATTCATAGCCAACTGCAACAGCAATCTGCTTAGAGAAGAAGCAAAAAATTTTTGTTCTTGTTTTGTACGTGTGTGTTGAACAACATGGAATCGACGGGAGAAATTTCAAGTCACCAAGAGACCGGTTCATCCTCTACGTCGGTGGATTGGGCAGCAGCCTTCAAGTCGCCCGAGTTTTCCAATGGTCTTCAAACTGCCGTGGCCGAGGCCGTCGCGAAAACGCTTGGTACACGTGCCTCCAGTGAGACATAAGTCGCGGCGTTGGAGCAATTGGGTGAAGTTTGTCCCACAGCGATGGTAAGCGCGCCAGGTACGCAAACACCAGGCGAAGGTATGTTAACTGCTCCTTCTTTTGTTGGGATTTCTGGGTCGACATCGTTGACACAATCGAGTGCAAGTGCACAATTTAGTATAGCCAACGGTCCATCAGTTTCCGAATCCCTCCCTGCCTTACCTATTGTGTCTCCAGGCATTAACAATGGCCTCAATCAAGCCTTTATCCTGGGACCCGGTCGCCCCCCTGTACCTGCAAGGCTCGTTGCGCAGATATTGGCGTGTAAGTTTGTCGAGATGTCAGATCTCATTCCAGAAAATTTAGAGGCCCCGACCACCGAGGGTACCTCCTTTATCATCGAAGGTCGCTCAATTGTGCCCACGACGACAACTTCGTCGCGCAAGAAGAATGAGATAAGCGATATTCTTACGTGGGTCGAGTGCTTCAATAGCTACATAGCTGTAATCACGGCGTCTCGGCCTGAAAGAGCACGGGATTTACTCGCGTATATGGCCCTAATAATACGCATCGCGAAGCAATTCCCCGGACGGTGTCGGCTTAACTATGATCGCGCCTATCGTCTCGAAGCTGCCGCGTCCAATTCAAAGAATTGGAGCCAAATCCATGCCGATTTGTACCATTACCATACCTCGGTAGCGGTCAAAGCCTTACAACCACAAGCTTCACGAAATCGCGAACCTTGTGGTGATCAAAATTCGATGATTGACTGCAAATCATGGAATTCAGGCGCATGTAGCAGTCCAAGAGATTTCTGTAGATTTCGCCATAAATGCGATCGAAACGGGTGCGGCGGAGCGCACCGCAGAATCCACTGCTCAGAATTTGCACGTAAACGAGGGCGTAGTCCTGGAGACGAATCAAGCCGTAGGCGACAGGCGAAACGCGATTAGGAGAGACGGTGTAGTTAATAACAATATTTTTTCCTGTTTAGTTGTACAAAACAATTTTAATCTTCCTGACGTGTCGTCAGTTACTCCTATTAATGTAGATAATTTGACATTACAATTATGTAATCATCCGGATCGACAAAAAGTTGACTATGTTTTGAGTGGTTTACGTCATGGGTTTCGGCTCGGGTTTCACCCCGAGTCGACACATCTGAAATCAGCCAAGGCAAACTGTCCCTCTGCGCTCAAACAGCCCTCCATAATTGACGAATATCTCGCAAAAGAGGTATCGTTAGGTCGGGTTTTTGGGCCTACTTCAATGCCACCAGTAAAAAGTTTACAGGTCAGCCGTTTTGGGGTGATTCCTAAGAAAGACGGTGGGTGGCGTTTAATTCTCGATTTATCCTTTCCCTTTGGGCATAGCGTAAATGACGGGATTAATAAAGAGGAATTTACACTTACTTATAGCAAAGTATCCGACGCTATTTCTCTAATTATTAAAGCCGGACATGGTGCGTTAATGGGTAAAGTGGATATTAAAAGTGCTTATCGCATAATTCCAGTGCATCCGTCAGACCGTCATTTACTAGGAATGTTTTGGCAAAGTGGTTTTTACGTTGATCTAGCATTACCGTTTGGCTTGCGCTCAGCACCAGGAATTTTCAATAGTTTAGCAGATTTATTTCACTGGTGTTTGGTGAATAACTGGAACGTTCGCGAGTTACTACATTATCTAGACGACTATTTTACATTAGGACCTCCTAATTCTGATATTTGTGCTTCGCGTCTTAAAGCGATTGATCAGGCCGCGACCGAAATTGGCATACCCTTATCTCCTGACAAGTGCGTGGGCCCCACAACGTGTTTGATTTTCCTTGGCATTGAGTTAGATTCAGTGCGCATGACCGCTCAACTACCCGCTGACAAACACACAGAGCTCATTCAAGTGTTGGAAGAATGGGCCACCAAACGCTCTTGCAGACTAAAGGATCTCCAGTCACTAGTGGGAAAATTAAGCCACGCATGTGCAGTCGTCCCCCAGGGACGCACTTTTTTGCGTCGTTTGCTCGACTTGTTAAAGGGCCATTCCAGCAAGCAATCCCGGTTTATACGTCTCAACAAAGAGTGTAAGCTGGACATTGACTGGTGGAGAACCTTGTTGCCTACATGGGACGGGGTGTTCTTCTTTGATCTACCGGAGTGGGCCCCAGTCCCTGACCTTTTTATTTCTACAGATGCCTCAGGAAGTAAGGGGTATGGGGCATTCTATTCTGGCGAGTGGTTTAATGGCTCGTGGTCCGCAGCTCAACAGCCGTTGAGTATTGCCTACAAGGAACTCTTCCCTATAGTCATAGCATGCTACGTATGGGGCAATAAATGGCGCTGTCGCCGCATCCAGTTTTGTTGCGACAATCAAAGCGTTGTAGCTGTGATTACATCTGGCACATCTAAGGACAGCCACCTCATGCAGTTATTAAGAGAGCTATTTTTGTGCGCGGCTAGCTTTAATTTCACAGTTACGGCAAGACACGTCCCGGGAAAGGAAAACACTATTGCTGACTCCTTGTCTCGTTTTAACATGCAGGTGTTTCGTCAGATGGCCCCACAAGCCCGCCTAACACCAGTAACCATCCCCCCCTCGTTGCTAGCCCGTCTGAACTTGTAGCCCTCCAGCAGGCAGCAAGAGCATTAATGTTTCAGGGCATCGCCAGTTCAACGTGGCGAACGTATGATTCTGCACAACGGAAGTTCCTCGAATTTTGTCGTTGGAGCCAGCGCGTAAACGCGAACGGTTCTCCTCTGCCTGCGTCCGAGTGGACATTGATGCTATTCACTACGCACCTTTCCAGAACAATTAAGGCATCTTCAATTAAAGTTTATTTTGCGGGAATACGATCATTGCACATCGAAAACGGCTTCCCAAACCCATTGTCAAATTGTTTGAGGCTGGAACGAATTCTTCGGGGCATTAAACGGTCCCAAGGCGATTCGAAACGTGAGTGACTCCCGGTCACTTTAACAGTACTATCTCGGATTAGGGCAGTTTTGAATTTTGAGTGCTACGATGATGTTTTATTTTGGGCGGCATGTTGTACAGGATTCTTTGGTTTTCTCCGTTCCGGTGAGTTCACCACACCAAACAGTAAATTTGACTCGCGCATACATCTTGCTGTAGCCGATCTACGAATTGACAAGCACGTGAATCCAAAAGTAATCTTCTTGCACATAAAATGCTCTAAAACCGACCCATTTCGTCAAGGGCACACTATCCGCCTTGGAGTCTCAGGTAATGTCGTTTGCGCAGTTCGAGCATTGCTGCATTATCTTCATTTGCGGGGAGGTAATGCAGGACCTTTGTTCCGCCACAAGAACGGGTTGCCACTGACGAGAACGATGCTAACAGCGTGGCTACGAAACGCGGTATCCCGCGCTGGTATAGAAGGAAACTTTTCAGGACATAGCTTTCGTATTGGGGCTGCAACATCCGCAGCCACGGCCGGAATTCCCGACCATCTCATTAAGACCTTGGGTAGGTGGTTTAGCAATGCATACCAATTGTACATTCAGACGCCTAGTAATATTTTAGAAACTGTCCCAGAACGGATCGTTACTATGTGTAATAATAGACTCAGCGAATAGTGTAAGAATATATATAGATTTTTTGTTTTGCTTTTGTGTGTGTTTGGTCGCGATGTCTGGTACTTTGGTCATTCCCAGGCTTGCATGAGCTTACACTTGTTTACGTATGAGTGGCGCCGTTTAACGGTCGTGTGCGTAAACTTAGCAACATAGCTTAGCAATTGGGTGTGGTCCCTAAGTTGATAATTTCTAAATGGCGACATAGCTTAGCAACTGGGTCTAGTCTCTTTGCTAATTTCTAAATGGCGACATAGCGTAGCAACTGGGTTTGGTCCCCTTGGTAATTTCTAAATGGCGACATAGCTTAGCAACTGGGTTTGGTCCCCTTGCTAATTTCTAAATGGCGACATAGCTTAGCAACTGGGTCTGGTCCCTTTGCTAATTGTAAAATGGCGACATAGCTTAGCATCTGGGTTTGGTCCCCTTGCTAATTTCTAAATGGCGACATAGCTTAGCAAATGGGTCTGGTTTGTTGTTTTTTTGGGGGGGTTTTTGTTGGGTTTTTTTTGCTAATTTCTTAATGGCGAGATAGCGTAGCAACTGGGTTTGGTCCCCTTGCTAATTTCTAAATGGCGACATAGCTTAGCAACTGGGTTTGGTCCCTTTGCTAATTTCTAAATGGCGACAAAGCTTAGCAACCGGGTTTGGTCCCTTTGCTAATTTCTAAATGGCGACATAGCTTAGCAACTGGGTCTGGTCCCTTTGCTAATTGTAAAATGGCGACATGGCTTAGCAACTGGGTTTGGTCCCTTTGCTAATTTCTAAATGGCGATATAGCTTAGCGTTGGGGTGTGGTCCCTTTGCTGATTTCTAAATGGCGACATAGCTTTGCAATTGGGTTTGGTCGCTTTTCTGATTTCTAAATGGCGTGATAGCTTAGCAATCGGGTTTGGTCCCTTTGCTAAAATCTAAATGGCGACATAGCTTCGCAACTGGGTGTGGTCCCTTTGCTAGTTTCTAAATGGCGACATAGCTTAGCAACTGGGTGTGGTCCCTTTGCTAATTGTAAAATGGCGACATAGCTTAGCAACTGGGTGTGGTACCTTTGCTAAAATTTAAATGGCGACATAGCTTAGCAACTTGGTCTGGTCCCTCTGCTAATTTCCCAATGGCGGCATAGCTTAGCAACTGGGTCGGTCCCGGTACTAATTACTACAGGGCGACATAGCTTAGCGATTGCAGGTGGACCTTTTGTGCTAATCTGAAACTGACGATATAGCTTCGCAACTGGGTCTGGTCCCTGGGCCAATTTCTAAATGGCGACATAGCTTTGCAACTGGATTTCGTCCTTTTGCTAATTTCTAAATGGCGACATAGCCTAGCAACGGGGTATGGTCCCTTTGCTAACTTCTCGATGGCGATATAGCTTAGCAACGGGATTGGTCCCTGCCTGCTAATTTCACAATGGCGACATAGCTTTGCAGTTGGGTATGGTCCCTGTGCTTAAATTCGTCAATGGCAAGTTAGCTTAGCTACTGGGTCTGTCCCTGGCAAAACTCTCAATGGCGACATAGCTTAGCAACTGGATTTGGTTCATTTGCTACATTATAATGGCGACAGTGGCCAAGGTAAAAAGGGCGCGGCATGCTGTAACAACCGGGCATCGCCCCTGTGTTAATCGGTGAAGAGCGGCAGAACTAGCCACTAGGTATGCATGGCGGTGGTGCTAACGTCAACTTATTGAGGAATGTATAGGGAGGCACGGTTTGTACCCGGGTGGATGCAGTTGGGATTCGATCTGGGATTTTGGTTACTTGGAGTGGTGAAATTTCGGAGAAATGTCACTTTGGTGGTCAGGTCCTGAATGGACAGGTTCACGTGATTCGGACCTGAATCCAAGCAACTCAAATCCGTAGATCATCAGCTGACCACGTCTGCACCTAACCATCCACACGGGTAAGTATGGTGACGACAGATATTAAATGAGGTTACATAGTAACCAAGGTTAATATCATAGGAACCGCGCGCAGTCTGGGTACGACAAGTGCCCTCAGGATATCGGATATAGAGAGTGCCAAGCAGACTCACAGTTCATTAGCTAATTCATAGCCAACTGCAACAGTAATCTGCTTAGAGAAGACGCCAAAAAATATTTGGGGTTTTTTTGGGTTTTTTTGTTCATAACAGCAATTAACTTTCGGTTTAACTTCCATCGAACACTTAGTTCGGTGTGATAGGGTGCAGACGTGAGGTGGTCAGGTCCTGAATGGACAGGTTCACGTGATTCGGACCTGAATCCAAGTAACTCAAATCCGTAGATCATCAGCTGACCACGTCTGCACCTAACCATCCACACGGGTAAGTATGGTGACGACATATATTAATGCAACATAAACATGACTTTTATTCGTCTATATCTGTGCGAATATTACAAGTATAATAATTTTACGCATATTGTCAGATAGCTGGTGAAAATGCCTACATTTTAGCGGGAGCTATATTCTTGTAGCTACAATATTGAGCGAGAAAACGTTGTCTAAACGACGGGGTCAAAATCACACAATGTAAACAAAATTTGAAACCAGAATTATAATTAGAAAGTTTAATGCAACATAAACATGACTTTTATTCGTCTATATCTGTGCGAATATTACAGGTACAATAATTTTACGCATATTGTCAGATAGCTGGTGAAATCAGCTACATTTTGGTACAAGCTATAACATTGGAGCTAGAATATTGAGCGATAATTCGTTGCCTAAACGAGGGTGTAAAAATTGCCGTCGGAATATACATTCTAGTCGGAATATATACAAAGTCTCGCCTTGCTGCGCATGTAAGCACACGCATTTGAAGCTTTCAAAGTATTATATTATAGTTTTAAACATTTTATAACAGACACAGTTGGAAAGCTTATTGAAACGGCCTAGTATTTTGAAAATGATGTGGTATCTGCCAGACGTATATCAAAAATCGAGCTTCAATTCAACAGTATTGATAATAGTATTCGCTATAAAAACTAACCCACTGTGTTTCCTCCAGAATAATAGAACATTAGCCTTGCACAAAATTTCCTGAGGTTGTTTACTTTTAATACTGCTTACTTGTTTGTTCACAGTTCGAGGATCTGACACGAGGGGCGCAATTGCGCAAAAGAGATTAGGAATCCCGCCAAAACTTGGCTTATAAATTAATTAAATTAATAAATTATTAATTATTAATTACAGTAATAATTCCGTATTTTAAAGATTCCGGCTTTTCTCATTCCGGGTTTTAAAGATTCCGGCTTTTCTCATTCCGGGTTTTAAAGATTCCAGCTTTTCTCATTCCGGGTTTTAAAGATTCCGGCTTTTCTCGTTCCGGGTTTTAAAGATTCCGGCTTTTCTCATTCCGGGTTTCAAAGATTCCGGCTTTTCTCATTCCGGGTTTTAAAGATTCCGGCTTTTCTCGTTCCGTTCCGTTCCTCGATTCCGTTCCGTTCCTCGATTCCCCGTTCCTGGTTTTAAAGATAGCCACAAAAAAATTATATTCTCATGAACATGTCCGCAGAGTGTGCATTTTGCTTTTTAATTAAACTTAAAAATTAAAGGTACTTTTATATAACAAGACGCCTACTCAGGCGTTCACACTGACCTGAAAATGATGACATGCGCACTATGGTGCAATCTCGTTCCCTGAGCCTGCGGTCCTTGGGAAGGAAACGAAGGCTCTGGGATAATCCGTGTCAGGCAGGAATCTGATTGGCCGTTCATATGGAATGTGCAGTTCAATCTTAGCCAGAATTCCTGGCTTTCGGCAACGGATTATCCCAGAGCCTTCGTTTCCTTCCCGAGGATCGCAGGCTCGGGGAACAAGATTGGCTATGGTGTAATAGACAAGGGAATGGGGACCAAGAGAGTTCGTATAGAACAGTTTCAGCGGTAGATACGGTAGATTTAGCCAAAGTAAATAAATAATTTGACAACAAAAAGCAGAAGGCAGAAATCACCACTTTATAATTGGCAACTTTTCAACCCTATACCATGCAATTAGTGCAACCTTGAGTGTCCCTATATGTCGTGTGGAGTTTATCTATTGGTCGAGTGTCGAGGGTTAAATGTCGAGGGCGAGGGCAAAACGTCGAGGGCGAGGTAATATGCGTTCCACGCACATATTATAGGCTACCACAAACGGCTTTTTGCAATTTTGCGCACCCAGCGCTGCTCGAATTCTAGTAGCTAGTACTAGCTGCTGCATGAATTTTAATACATGTGTTATGCTACATTATACACATGAGAAAAATCCAACACTGTATGCTATATTGTCGACATGTGTTGCAGATTTCGTAACAAATGTCTTAGTTCTTGTTCATTGCCAGTGGTATTTTGAACGCACGCTTTATCTTTACTTGCGCCAATTCTACTAGCTGCTGCGCGAATTTTAATACATGTATTATATATGGCGCGTTTTTATTGTCAAAATTCAATAGGTCCAATAGTTATAAGTCGAACACCAAATCACCAATGATACAAATCGGGCAACACTTACTCGAATCGAGCAGACTGATATGTAAATCGATTATTGAAATCGATCAATATACATTCAAAACGAGCAAACATGCATACAGTATAGCCAAATCGAACGACTATTCCTTGTTTATATTATATTGTGAACTATAAAATGTTATTGTATTTAGGCAAATGAGAACCATGCAATAAATGTCTTGGTATTTTGAATGCAAGCTTTATCTTTACTACTTGCTCGAACTCTAGTAGCTACTGCGCGAATTTTAATACATGTATTAAGGTATATTATCGACATTTTGTAGGTGAAAAGAATTGGCTAGTTTACATTGTTCATTATATTATGAAATATGATACTACTTAAAATTCGCGTCGAGCTAAATGTTATTGTATTAGGCAAATGAGAACCATACAATAAATGTCTTAGTTCTTGTAGGTATTTTGAAGGCACGCTTTATCTTTAGTATAGCTACCACAAAGCGTTTGGCGCACCAACTAGTAGCTACTGCGCGAATTTTAATGCATATATTAAGGTATATTGTCGACATTGTGTAGTTAAACTGTGAAACGTTTAACTTTTCCTTGTTTATATTTTGTTTATATTATATTGTGAACTAAATGTTATTCTATTAGACAAATGAGAACCATACAATAAATGTCTTAGTTCTTTTGGTATTTTGAACGCTCGCTTTATCTTTACTTGCGCGAATTCTAGTAGCTATTGCGCGAATTTCAATACATGTATTTTAATATGGTCAAACCTTTAACTTGCCCTTGTTTATATTGTATTGTGAACTAAATGTTATTGTATTAGGCAAATGAGAACCATACAATAAATCAAAATAAACTGTCGAACCTTTACCTTGTCCTTGCTTATATTCCACTAATAAATTCTATATTGTACAAATTCGCGTCGGGTCCAAATTTTGGGGTTTTCGAGTCGTTTAATACAACATATTGATTGTATAAATCCGCCGGGTCGGCCAAATTTTGGAAGCCAAATTTTAGAGTCGTTTAATACAAAAAGAAAACATTAATTCAACACGCAAGAAAGTCCAGAGTGCGACAAAAAATGAACACAACTACACCACGGATGTTTATGACTCTACAACGTATATTTATAGACATACTTGTTTATTAGTTAAAAAGTCAAACTGTCGAACCTAACTTGTCCTTTGTAAAATTCGCTGGGTCCAAATTTTGGGGTTTTCGAGTCGTTAGACGAAGAAAAACATATTAATTCAACACGCAAGAAAGTTCAGAGTGCGACACAACATAAAATCCATAGGAAACCGGCACAACTCTTTGAAAATTCAACGAAACTGTGTGAAATATATTCTGATCACTCAGCCAAAAGGCGCCATTTTGAAACTGGACTGAATATGTCACCATTGAAGTTCGGAATTGTGCGCGTGCGTATAAGTCCATATAAGTCTATATATGGGCTAATAAACGAAAAATGCACCACAAGCATGGCATGAGCCGGATATTACGTACATAAATACAAACTTCTTACTATTATACATGAATCGTGGAGTCGAAGAATCGATGGCATTTTGGATTAATCGTTGCACCCTGAGCCTGCGATGCGCGAACGCAAACTCGCTTTCTCGACGACGAAAAAAACAGAAGAAAACAGAAAACTAGGGATTTAAGACACTTGACCTTTCAGGTCAGTGTAATTAAGAGTCAGTTTCTCTATTTAACCGAACAGCAAACAAAGATTTGATTAGTCAGCTAGTTCTGTGCACGGCTTGACTGCCAAGCTTTCTCAAGGTCTCAACTTGCTGGACGCGGATATACTCTAACGACTAACGGGCTAACAACAGCAACAATGAAATTCTCAATCGTACCACGAAGAAGGCGATGTAGCTCAGAAAACAACGCCGGTAGTACCTTATAACAAACGTACTTGCAGGGAGGTGAGTCCGGGATTGGACGCACTGAGGGTGGCTGGAAGTTTCCCGAACTTACCGAGCGAAGCGAGGTGAGTTCGGGAAACTTCCAGCCACCCGAGGTGCGTCCAATCCCGGACTCACCGAACCTGCAAGTACGTTTGGTTTTTATCCCATACACCGAGCCATACACACATTTGCAGCTCTTCGCGATATATTCGTCGATGTTTTGTGAACATTTTCCAGGCCAAAAATTCACTGGGCAAGAAAATACTTCTTTATCTACGTCTACATTACCTTTACTGCATTTTTTCTTTGGTTTTTCTTCAGTCTCAGTATGTTAGTCACCGAAAAAAGTTCTTTAAAGTTTAGGTTTATCGACTAAATCTTGTTCGCCATATTTGTTATTGTTATTGCAACGTAAGCAGTTTAGCGGGTGAGTTCGGGCGAAAAGCAGGTGAGTTCGGCAAAAAGCAGGTGAGCTCGACGACAAGCTCACCTGCTCTAAACCAATCAGAAAGCCGCTTTTAACACAGGTATGGGATAAGATATTAGACTAACGTGCATGCGGAATCGAGTTACCGATATCCAATGATCTCCATATATTTCTGGAGTGAGTTCAACATTTGGGAAATTTGCACAGCGCATGTGCAAACTGTAGAAATTTCGACATCTTCAATGATTTGTTTAGTAAATCGAATTTTTAATTAAGGAAAGAATATTTAAAAATACTGAAAAGATACTAAAAAATTAAGTAGATTTATGTGTTATTTATCCAAGAACACCTAATATAACATGCGAGAAATGTAGGTCAAGCCCGCGAATTTTAGTGCGGACGAAACGTAGGTCTGTTTTCAGGCTAAGGCATTCCACACTTGAAAAATTTTCTAGTAGCTGATCTTTGGTTCATATTCAAATAAACATCGATGTAAGAAAACAATTTTTTTTTTGTCGTGCTATGACTCCAAAAGCCATGCCAATGATCCACAGTCCAACTCAAATTCAAGGAAATCAGTTTACTAAAGGAATGTTTCCTCAGAATCTGAGGAATTCAGACAAAGCACGTGGGCAAACGTAAGGTGAGCGCATGGTGTGAAATGTCGCACAGAACGACATCTTGCCTAGTCTAGGTTGATCCGTCCGTAGTGGAAAGAGCCTGGGTAGGAGATTGGGGTCCTACAATCGCGTGCAAAAATAACGAGACTTTTCAAATTTTTGACAATTTTAAAGTACGTCGGCCTCCCCCCTGCCCCCATGATCAATGTTGGAAAAAGTGGGTTGAATTTACTCTTTTCAGTCATCCACACAACATTGAATTGGGGGTGAGGGGGGCACTTATGCGGTTCTCTCAATAATTTTTGCTCCTGATTGTCTCTATTTGTACTTTTGAATAAAACGCAATTCGTTCATGTTGATTCAACTTGGTGCTCCATTGAAAACGCTGATTTGGATTCCTTGCTTAGTGAACCTTTTGCTATATAATATTTTTTTCTCAGCGGTTTTCTATAACTGAGTATTTCATGTAGAAAGAATATAGGGGATCTTGAGAACTATAGTTATTTTTTGTTAGGAAAGGACGATTAATTGATGAATATATACATTAGAAGAAGATTATAAAATAATGAATAAAATTCAGACTATTTTTCCCATCGCTGACAATTATGACTATATATTTTTTTCTTAAACAGAATATTTTCTTTAAGTTCAAGTATTTTATAACAGACAACGCATCGTTCTGACCTACTTGTATACAATATTGGAAAATTTTCAGTGATTTTCCTCCTTTTAGCCGAATTGTTACATAAGATTGACATACTCACTAGATTTTAAACCCAATTCAAGCATTTTATTTATGTTGATATATGGACTTACCGATCGTAAACTTGCACTAGAATTTATTGCAAACTTCCATGTCCTACGATTTTGGGATTATGTGAGATGAGCTCAAGCAAATCTGGTCGCACATGCGCAAAATATCAATCTATTTTTACGTACTGATTATAGACACGTTACACACACGTTATACCACACGTTACACCACACGTTACATAATAATCTGTAGTAAAACATATAGATATACGACACGTTACACACGTTACACCAATTGTTATTAAAAATAAATATATATATTTGTTTTTAAAAACAATTGGTGTAACGTGTGTAACGTGTCATATTTCTATATATTTTACTATAGATTGTTATGTAAAGTAGGTGTAACGTGTAGTGTAACGTGTAGTGTAACGTGTAGTGTAACGTGTGTGTAACGTGTCAGCGTTTGCTTAATGAAGCCAAGTGCATAAAATTTACATGAACTAATCACTTTAGATTAGTTGGTGAACATCCCACAAGCACAACAGCACATACTGCAGTATAAATGACAAAGTTTTCTCATTTTTCGTCATATGGCTAGGCTGAAGAACTCTCCTATAATGATTCCCTCCTGAGGTAATGATGGCTAATTGAGCTTGAAAGGACGTAAGAGTAGTTAAAACACTACATTAGATTTTTATGGCTTATTGGATGTGTTGTTACTATATCGCAAAGTATTTTAATAAATCGTGTTTAGCCTACAACTTGTCTATTTTCTCAAAGATTTTTTTCTACTAAGTAAATGATAGTAAAAATTAAATTCGTTAGAAAAGCTTCTTTAGTTTTGCCCGCCCCCCCCCCCCCCCCCCC